GCTAAAGGTAACAAAAAAGATATATTGTATAACAAGAAGAATTAGTGTCAGAAGAAGTGCATTTATAAAATGTGTAATAAACAAACTTCTAATTCTAAAAGAACTTAACAAAAGAAGACCAGATGTATATACAATGACTGAATGCCAAGTGTACAAAGATAAAGTTAAAGAAACACAGATGCATTTAGCAACATGCAAAGGACAAAGAAACTTACATAAAAGAATACAAAAAGTGACCATTGCAACAGCCTGGAAGGGACTTAGTAAAGAAGAAAAAATCCGAGTTCTTCCATATGTGCTATATATAGTACTCTTTGGTAAAACTAAAACAAAAAAAGTAAGAATAAGAGAGGCTTTAATTAAAGGCCTGATTTCAAACAAAACACAAAATAGATTATAGCAGCTTTTAAACATAAAGTCAAGACAGCAGTTTGCAAATGTAATAGCAAATATGACCTAAAATATATTTTATAAACAAGTATGAAGAGTCTAATGTGAAAAGATTAGTGAATAGAAGAAAAAAGTAGGAATAACAGTTAGGTTAAAAAGAGGAGAAGTAAAAAAGAAGGTGAGATCATGTAAAAGAAAAAAAATAAATTAGCAAAAAATAGAAGAAAAAAAAGATAAAATAAGAGAAAAAGAAGAATAAATCAGAACAGAAACACAAAAGACAATTTTGGAACTTGTTATAAAAGAGAAAAGACCCTTCTATTATGGACTTTAAGTAGTTAGATAAGTAGCTTACTTCTGTTTGAAGTAATACAGCAGGTTGCACTTAGGTACCATTAAGGTAGCCAAGTGATGCTAGACTTAGTTGTTAAGGATATTTATGTAATTGCAAATGTAATTTCAAAATCTTAATAAAGTACTAACATGACTGCTTAAGAGAAAAAAATAAAAATAAAAAATAAAAAATAAAAGACTCACAGACAGATCTCAGCTATAGCATCTAGTAGATAACCTATAGATGAAACTTTTAATTAAATAATGACTAAAGTTATATATATGACTAGTTGTACTTTTGTTGATGTACTATGTATATTATATATAATCATATATTACTTAATAAATAACATGTAGGCAAGATTGTTACTTTAAATTGAAAAAAAATATCATATGATTGGTACATGTTTATAGACTTTCTGTAAATACATATTTTCTCTAAATGCATACTCATGCTTGATCTGAAGAAAATGCATTTAGGAAGAGTTCTCTGTATAGGTGCATTTAAATAATATATTAAAAAGATAAATATATTTATATTATATTGTTATAATTATAGATTTTAATAATAAGGTGTGGCAACTTAGTAAAATGAATAGGTTGTTAACCCTTAAATGACAGGTCTAAGGTTCAATTTCCATAGATAATGAATTTTGGAAATTATACTTGTGTTATGATAACTGTCTTTTGCTGATCAGTTGGGTTTTGGGCATCTGTAATCTTAGGTATACCAAGTTGGGCCCTACCTGATATTAAGAGCTTAGGCATCTATGCAAAATTTAATATTACATATATATAGAAGAATATGAAAAACCAGTGTTATATAAGGCTTCAGTGCAAACTCATAATAAGACCACTAAGTGTAGAAGGCTAAGAAACCAAAAAGATGAAAACCTACTTGGAAATCCCAAGTAAAAAGGTAGCACAAACTTTCAATGATGCTATTGAACTGATGAAAGTCTATAAAACACCTTCATAGAAACTTTGAATAAACCAAATAACAAGATGTATAGAAGAGCATATAACCAACTAGGCTGCTAGAATCATCAGAGGAAAAGAATATATAAGTATATTATAGTAGGCCATCTGGATTGGAAGTCTGAAGAGTCAGTTAGTTCTGAGTTGTGGCTAATAAGAAATAATAATGAAGAAGTTAGAAAGATGGATACCAAAGTTTGAATAAACTTTACAAGAGTAATAGTGGTTTAAGAAGTAATCCTAACTGCAAGTGTTGGTCTTGGCCATAATATCAAACCAGGTTAGCAGTAAAAGAAATATAGCTTACTCTGATAGGTTTACCTTAAGAATAAAATAATCTAAGAATTATAGTTCTATGGTTAAAAGCAAATAGATCTGGGTTTGTAATCTAGTAAAATTAATATCAGGATCAGATCAAAGAGTTTAAATAGAATATCTAAGCAGTAGTGTTAGGTATGACAACTGTTAAAGAACCTTTAGGTGGACTTCTTAAATAGGTAATATAGAAAAGTTATACATATAGCTAGTTGTACACTCATCTGATAGTTTATTATAGATATGTTTATATAAAACATGTATCTGATATAAGTATTAATAAAAAGTTATGACCAAAGAGGTCACCTTAATACCAAAAAAAAAATAATAATAAACTGAATCAGAATTAAGTATTATTTAATTAAGTCTTTATTTAATTTCAAATTTAAAGAATTCATAAATTTTAGCATTTGAAATAAATTTATTAAATTGAATTTAAATTGAATTTAAATCTTAAATTGCTATCTAAATTCAAATTCACAGAATACACAAATATTCAGATTTGTAATAAATTTGTTAAATCAAATTCAAATTGAATCTGAATCTTTATTTATTTTGTAATATACTAAATTTTAATTTAAATAAATTTTTATTTTGTTTATAATTTTAAAAAGCTATAATATTTTTTATATTATATATATATAAATAATATTATTTAAAAAGGATGGTGATCCTAGTGTAGTGGTTGGGTTGCCATCTTCCAAGTAACAGATTTAAGATACAAATTCCACCTACAATGAAATTTGAAAATTATATCTATATTATGAAAACTGTCTTCTGTTAATTGGTTGGCTTCATGCAGCTGTAACCCAAATATATCAAGTTAGGTCCTCTAATATTGAAAGCTTGGAGCATCTATGTGAAGTATAACATTACATGTATATAGAGGAATGTTAATAATTGGTGTTGCATAAGACTTCAGTGCAAACCTATAATAAAACCACTAGGCATAGAAGACTAAGAAACCAAGAAGACAGAATTCTACTTAAAAATTCTTAAGTAAAGAGATAGCACAAACTTTCAATAGTGCTATCAGACTGATGAAAGCCCATAAAACACCTTTATAAAAACTGAAAATTAAAACTGGATATCAAGATATGTAGAGGAGCACAGACTAACCAGGCCATTGGATTTATTAGAAAAAAAAATACTAAGGTATATTATATCAGGCCATCTGAATTGGTAGTTTGAAATAAAACTGACAGTTTTAAGTTGCAGTTAGTACAAGATAATGAAGAAGATGTTAAAAAGATAGGTACTGGGGTTTGGGTGAACTTTACAAGGATAGAAATAATATAACATAGTGGTTTAAGGTTAGCTTTGACTGCAAGTATTAGGTAACTATAGCATGTTACATAAAACTAGATTAGCTGTATATGAGATATAGAAAGCTTTAGTAATGATGCTTCTGAGGATATACTGCATGAAATAAGATATAGGGTCCTAAGGATATGGATAAGCATCTAGACTTTCTTGACTGACTTATATAGCAAAAATGATCTAGTGATACGTAAGGTTGTGGTACAGAGAGTTTAAATAGTCAACACTTCTAGTTAGATTGCAGATATGGCAGCTAGTATAGAACCATCAGCAAAATACTTAATTAGACACCAAAAGTGTATATGTGACTAGTTGTACTCTCTAATATAAGGAGACTTCTTTGAGGCTTTGGCTGTAAGTTCCTATATCCTAACTATACTAAATAAAAAGCCTTAGCTTCAAAAGAAGTTAGTTTAACTTAAAAATATATATATATATAATACTATTTAAATAAGTTTTTAATACTTTAATAGGTTTAAATTACAAATAAATTAAATAGTTTATTTAATTATTTAGGCTTTTATTTATGCATATAATTTTATTTTATTTTTTTTTAATATTAAAGTTAAGTATTTATGACTTAGATTTTTATTGATAGTATGTTTTAGTTTTGTAATTGTATTATAATAGCTACAGAGGTTAACTATAAAAAGAATATACAACTAGTTACTTATAACTTTAATCATTATCTAATTTAAGTAGTTTGCCTAAAGATTCTATATTAACTGCTATATTTGAACCTGCTTGTAAGTTTTCTATTTAAATATTCTAGTTTTTGTATCTACTCACCTATTTATTCTACTAGCTGCTCTAGTTTTTACTGATATAAATATACTATAATTACTAAGTTTTTAAAGCAGTGTATTTACATAATTATACTAACTTATTAGAGCCTTCTGTTATTAAATTTTTAGCTAATCTAGAATTATTATAGCTAAAACCAATACTTGCAATTAGAATAACCCTTTAACTACTATATTCTTGTAAAGTTTATACAATATTAGTATCTTCTTTACAATTTTATTAGTACTATATACATCTTTGTAAGTTCTTCTATATAACCAATTTAATTAACTTTGTATGATGTAACTTCATATTTAGTTCAACTGATAATCAGTTTGGTGGATTCTTTTATCTAGAGTTCTTACTTATATAAATTCTTTGTTCTAAGTTTCTGTTTCTAAATTAAGATTTTTATAGATAATATCATTAAAGATTGTACTATCTTTCTAAATAGAATTTCTAAACAAGATTTCTTATAAAATATATACTTTTTAGATTTATTTATATGCCATTGCATGCCCCAAAGTTAGTCTTAATATAATTAGAATTACAAAATTACAATTTTAGATACTTTAATCAAGTTGTCAGAATAGGATGAATTTTTTTAAAAATTCTACTGCCAGTAGGATTTGAACTCTGAACCTATTGCTTAAAGAATGACAACTCAACTACTACACTAAGATTAAATTTTTCTTGTAATTTTTTTATTTATACTAGTACAAATAATAGAAATATATGTATTGTTTATATATTATTATTTTATAAATTACTTAATAAAAATACAAGCAAAACCTTATCTTAAAAAAAATTAATAATTTTATTTTTAATTTAATGTTTTATTTATTTGGCTTTATATAAAATGTTTGCAATAATATAATATTCTACTATAGTAATATATATTTAGTACATTTTAGCTAATTTTTACTCTAGATAATATTACCTGATTGTATAAAAACTAATCAAATTACTGGATCTCGTGCAACCAAAACAATGTAAAAAAGAAAAAAACTAATTCAAATAACTTAAGATTTTATTATAAAAATTATGCTTTACTTTTAAGCAAACATTTTAGTATCAAATTTTACATGTATTTAAACTTTTTAAAACTAACTCTAATTTTTAATATTAAATTTAATTACTTGTAACAAAAATTTTATAATATCAGATAATATAACCTAGAGTAAAAATTAGTTATAATCTTTAAAAATATATAAAATCAAACTATTAGAAAATTAATATTAAATTTTATTAATATTGATTTTTATTTTGCATAATTTAAAAATAAATCTCTTGTAATATAAATAATATGTATCCTAAATCAATTGATTAATAACATATTTTATTAATAGTGGTATCTATACTGCAAGAGATTCTTTAGAATATACTGTATAAATGATAAAAACTACGAATAAAAAGCAAAAAACCCATAATATATATTGTTCAATAGATTGTAGATATACAACATATTTAAATAAAAAAATTTCTTTTATAGCTGCAAGAAAATTTTAATTATAGATCTTTTGTAATTTAAAGCAAATTAAACTTATTAGAGAAACATAATTATAATTACAGTAATATATAAAATATTATATCTACTTTTATACATTTATATCATATAAATCATGTTAGTAAATATAATTATATAGGGTAAACACTATACGATCACACCTTTTTATAATCACCATTTTCGTCAAACAAACAGCGTGATTATAAAGAACGACTGTAATTACAAAAAATTATACATCTTACTAAATGTTTCTAAATACTAATCAGATATAATATAGTTGAACGTATATATATACTAGGCCTCAATAAGTGATAATTAAATCTATTTTAGCAGTGCTCATAGTAACTTTAAGCAAGCTTGAACCAGACTACGCTTCGAAAAAGAAACCTATTTATATATTTTGTTACACTTAATGTTCTTAGCATAACCGTCAAAATTATTAACAAACACCAATTAAAATTATATTATTAAAAAACTATATACTTTGAGATATTCTGTACGAATTTATTCTGAGACATAATGTTTTGATTGGTTAATAATTTTGGATAATCTTACAATGCGTCTAAATTTTTTTATTTTTATTTGAGTTGCTGCCAAGAGAAACCGGAAGTCTAAAAATAGAATTTTTTAGACAACGGAACACGAGCTTTAAAATGATACGTACTAATACGTGATCAAAAAAAAACCGTAATCTTATTTTTAGACTTCCTGGGCGGCACCTATTTATAATTGAAAATGTAGCTCACACCAAACTTTATTCGAATTTTGCAAAATATTCATTTTTGATTTTCGGAAAGGGTCCTACATAAAACCATAATAAGAATATTTTTTTAACAAAATTCATTATTAATTAATTTGTCTTCAGAAAGTGACAAATTTAGCTAATTTTGGCAATTGAATACGTAAATTGTATAAACTGTTTATATTTTACAAACATTGCAACATAAATTTTTACTAATCAGGGCAATTATTGCTATTAGAAGGTGTTTTATTTTCTCATTATATGCTCTTGGAAGATGTTTTGCACACAGTTTCGTTCATTTTCGAACGGTATAAAATTTAAATCAATAGTTTTTAAGTCATTTCATTTGTTAACACCTACCGTATCGCCCAGGGCGTTATTTTGAGACAAAGAAAATTTTAGAACGAACTAATAATTAATTCGGCCGAAGATTTTTTAAGCTTTATTATTAAATAAATATTAAAGTTTTTTTTAAAAAAAAACCTTCGGTCAAATTAATTATTAACTCGGTTTAAAATTTTTTTGTCTCAAAATAACGCCCCGGAGTGTTATTTCGTGACACATAAATCCAATTTCAATTGTAACTAATTATATTCAATCTGAATTTCATTGTATAGTGTTGCATTCGATATTTTTGTGATTTATGTCTATTAATTTCTATTTAGGATATTTCAGAGCAGCTTCATTTATTTTTTTTCTTAATAATGGGCAAAATTTTACATAGGCTTTCAAAATTTCTACGTAGACTACTAGTTTGTATAGTAATTTGCTATATAGGCATAGGTGAAACAATTTTAAATCGATTAATAATAATTCATTTTTTTAAAAGGTCCTACGACTTTATATTCAGCATATTATACCAGATTTTTATTTCTGTCCCATTACTACTCATTCGCAAGTTTAATCAATCGAAAAGATGAACAATGCTTTGAAAGGACTGCATATGATAGTTGGGTACTACTTTACAATTATCAGAAAGTTCGTCACTACACTTGGATCCTTACGAGTCTAGTTCATACTATGTTACTGGTTTAAGCGTGACTACGTCGTGCATTGGGGGAGGATGTACGATCATCTAAGTAATCAAATTAATGATGTCATATGTTATCTGCATATACAAAGTTGCATGATCGCATAATAACGCATATATAATATTGAATATACATATATGCTAATCCAATTAGGTTCGGATGCGGTAGGGGGCTTGTTATTTTGAATGCAAATTTCAAATTTCGAAATAACGCCAATCGGGTTTTTTCGAATGATCGTCGCCAATAAGATCACTAAAAAAAAAACCAGACGATAAAACCACTTTCTGCACTCTAATAAAAAAAATCCTTCGTGAAATTATGGTATAGAACATGTCCTGTTATAATCTCCATCCCAACCTTAACATGAGATTTTAATACTTTAAAATATTGCGCATATTAAAGTTGTAGTAATTTTAGTCAGGGGTAACTTCAGGTACAATTTATATCGATATATATATTGTTTGACCATATTAAATAGGGGTGTTAATCGGTCCCGCAGTAATTATGTGCTGATTTTGAGCAAAATTTGTAAAAAATTGATATTTTTTAACTAGTATTCGTTCAATAAATAATGCTTGTTATTGAAACAGTTATTTCTCTATCAGTCCCTAATAGAAGTTTATAGGATAGGTTTTTGCATTAGCATTAGTTTCTGAGTAATTTAGATGGTGTGGATAAAAGTTCGTTGATCGGTCCCTAACCAGTCACTCAAAAACTAATGCAAAAACCGATAAACTTTTATTAGAGACTGTTATAGAGAAATAACTTTCTTATTGAACGAATACTAGTTAAAAAATACCAATTTTTTACAAAAGTCGACTGACAATTACTGCGGGACCGATTAACATCCCTAATACAGCAATATCGATATTAAACCCTTAAAAAACCGGACTGGTCACAAACCTGATGATAAGTGTGATTTCGGTCATCAAAATATGAATCCTCCGCTTTGTCATTTTGCACTGGACAATTATTACTTATTAGTCAATCAGTCAGAGTCACAAAATGATTTACAACAACCAACAAGCTTTAGCCATTCCAAATCCAGAAATAAAAGCCGTTTGTCAATAGTGGTGGATTAAATTTTTTGCTTTTATTACGCTTAATATTAATTGTATACGTAGTCAAATGATTTTAAGTTCAAATTTTTGGTTTTTTTTTTTTAAGAATTACTAATCTTTTGAAATATATATTATTAAACTCATTATATAGTAAACCTTCTATATAATAAGCGTTACCAATTAAAATCTAGTGAATTACAGTAAATAACTATCGAAATGAGGATATTAACAGACATAAATAAAATGTCATCTGATGATAAATACAACATATTGATGCTCTAAGAAATCAAAAGAAAAAAGCAACTTCCTTCAATGTCAATTTAAACTCGTTAAACTTTGCTCAATTTGTTAAAAGGCACTTTTTTCGGACAATCTTGATTAGTATTAATTGTTTCCATAATAATTATTTGGTAGATTAGAAGGGCCTGGCGCACCATTAAAACCACCACTTGGCCCAGGATTAAGACCAGTTATCCCACGATTGAGGTTTATGTTAGGACGATGATCGGGAACCCCAAGGTTAGGATGGAAATACTCAAATTCCCTTTGAGGAACAGTGGAAGTAGTAGGTGCACCAAAATCTTCAAAAACGGATGCTTTCCATAATTTTCGTGATATTATGGGCATTACTGAATAAAAAAAAGTAATTATCCAACTAAATGCTACGCTTGTTATGTAACCATGGCACCATCCCATTATTGAAGCTGGATAGGAATATCCATATCGGTCAATGGGTCTGCACACTAAGATATAGCCGATGTATACTGGGTATATGTTTGTTAAAGCTATAACAAATGCAATAATATATTATTAGATTTTTTTTTTTTTTTTTAAAGATGCATTACATAACAATTAAGTATTGTACCTGCCGAAAGCCATAATAATGCAAGGCCGCTTTAAGAAAATACAAAAAGTTCATGATTAATTTTTTATTTTAATATAATCGAATTTTGTTCATGCATATATATATATATTACAGCAATAAACGTACAAATCAACTATATAATCATATTCATGAGATTCCGATTGAAATCGACCGAATGATATTATAACATGATAGACTATAATAAAATCAAGAGTAATTATTAAGATAACGATATATCATAATATGTTATTTTCATAACTATTCTCGAAAATATAAATACCACTAATAGCGAGACCGAAAAAAAGAACTGTCCACCAATATGGTTTTATTCCATGTGTTTTAAACCTGTGTAAAAACAATCGAAAATTTGAATTTTTAATTCAAACAAAACTTCACATGTATATATGTGTAATAAATACTCACCATCCATTTGAAAAAAAATCGTTAGAACTTCTATCCGGATACTGATTCTTAAAACTTACTATTTGTACGATTTCTTTTAATAACAATAATAATAATGGAGGAATACATTCAACATTCACATTCATTACTTCGTCTTCGGCAATAAATGGTAAGAATTAAAGGCAAACCTGCGACGAGACACACAAGAATCAACAAAACAATGAATACTCTAAATGTTCGATAGATGTCGTTTAAAGATTTAGAGTTCATAGTTAATTATAAACCAACCAAGAAAGCAAAGTTATGACGAGAAAGCAAATTGACGTTAATATTTGACAATCATAAAATTTTATTAAGATGTCAAGTATAAGTTGGTGCGATGGCAAAAAGTGGATGTAATATATCCACCTCAGGAATAGTACGCATAGTTATTAATATAATTATTTAATGTTGCACTATATTTAGGACAAAGTATGTGCTATTCTAGTGCGTAATTGCAATGAAAGCTCTGCATTTTTAGCATTGCAATACAACTGCCTGAAAAATGAAATTACTTACTTTTTTTGTGATATCACTTACAATGGATTACAATAAACGTGATACACTCCGTTTGTTTTGAAGTAAATGCACTAAAATGTATATAAATACATATATACAACGTACTTCAAGACCCAATCGTCACGCATAGGTATCACAACATAAATGTGGAACTCAATTAAATTACTTGTGCTATTTAAAGCTCTGGATGAAACTAATATCCACTTCTATGTGACTATAGTTTCGACTATACTATCGATATACGAAATGTCAAGAGATTCTATTATAGGAGTCTATCAAGGAAAAAAAAACCAGACTTTTATGTTTATAGCTTATCAATTTAGCTGTTAAAAAAAAATTGCTAAGTTACATATCTAGATGACACATATGTAATACTGTTTATCATAGTTGATCCGATGTTTTTCGGGGGTTGTCCGACATGCTTAACCTTAGAAAACCAACGTCTGGTTTTATATTGACGACATATATATATATATATGCTAGTTCCGCAGAAGTCACCTTTCAAGAGCAAGGAAATTTCCAGCTATAGTTTAGAAGGAAACAGTCTAACTGGGGTTAGAAACCTAGTCTCTTTAACCATTTTCATTATCTCCGCATGTGTTAAAAAGTCGATAGTTCGTGCAAAAATCTCTCTGACATCATATCTACCTACGATGGGATACTTCACCGACATGTATTTTAAAAAAACAATTTACCGAAAGCATACTTCCCTCAACAGGATATTTTCTCCGACAGGTTAATGTCAAAATTATAGTCAGGTCACGTTCAGGAAGGAAATTGTTTCGTCGTTGGGAAATATTCAGTCAGTAAGGTGAAATATACCTGTTGGGACTAGAGATACGGTAAAAAACTGTTATGGCTTATACCGTAGCTATTTAAAGTTTATATCGGAACCATTTGAATCTCATGTTGTAACTAGTTACGACATAAATCGTAACAGTTTCTACTGCATCTCTAGCTGGGACTACGGGACTTCCGGGGCAGGGCATCCTTCATATTTAAGGTGCATATCTTTATTAAATGAATTTTTTAAAATTCGAATAATTCGCTTGAGATGTTCAAAATCATAGCAAGCTTAGAGCGTCAATGCTCCTCAGTTATGCAAATCTTTTACAAGCTACGGATTATAATTTAGAAAATCATCATAATAAATCTACAATAACATTCAGGGTTTAAGATCTTGTGTTTCTCTCATTCCTCCTTTTGTTAAGATCCAAAGGCTTTTATGATACGTAACATTTTAAGTCTAACCTGATACTTATATATTTACACAATGTTACATTTTTATTTAATAATGTCATAAATACTTGTTTTAGTGATACCCAAATTAGCTACGTAAAGGCAAAATCTTTAATTTAATAATATTAGGCAATTTATGTAAATGTACAACCTTTTGTGTCTGGACAGTGATTGTGCAAATTTTCCGGATATGGAGCCAAAATCATTTATCGAACTAGCATTAAGAATGCTATTATTATAAAATCGTATCCCGATTTTTTTTTTTTCCATAACACCAAGATAGGTTTAGGCTGCCTTATTTCATGTTTTTCATATTTTTGTTATTCAGGAATGATCACCGTGATTTGCAAGATTTTATCATTATTGATATAGTGATGTCTACGAATTTGGTTTTAACGGTTCTTTATAAATTAAATACATATAATTAACTACCAATGTAAGGAATACCCTTATATTAGATCATCAATTTAATAGACCAAATTTAAAGTACACGTCACTCTAATTGTATTGACAAATTATTGGATCTATAGACATCTAGAGATGTAATCGGCTGAAATGGTTCGGCTTGGCTCACTAAACCATAGCATAAATAGCCATGGTGTAGCCAAGCCATGCATGTATCATGGTTTGAGTTTGCCAAGCCGTTTAAGTCATGCTTAGTTTTCTGAGCCGTTGCTAACTATGGCTTAAGCTATTGTGAAGCTACAGGACTTAAATCGGCTATGTCTGACGCCAGCTTCAAAATCATGGCTAAAGTTTATCAGCTTGGCTCAGGCTATGGCTAAAAGCCAAAGCCGAAAGCCATACTTCTCTGATTCAAGCCATGATTTTAAAGGCTTGGCTTGATAGTGGCTCTGGTATCAAGCCACGGCTGGAGCCGGCTTCAAGTGGAGCCGATAACATCTCTATAGACATCTAGTCATATTGAACTATTCCTTTGTTTTTGGAGAGTGTCAATACGTATGACGAGTAACGAATTAAAATGGTTGTAAATGATTCAATAATAAAAATATTTTATTCACCTATAAAATAAATCATATTTTTATATAATAAAACCATATTTCATAAACTTAGATAATAAATCATTGAATAAAAACGTTATTGCATAAAAAGTATGCAATAACTACATAATATTATGTACACTGTAAATTCTCGAAATAGCGGGCATAGGCGTTAATTTGAAAATCGTACGTACTCCTTAAAAATACCATAGTTAATTTTGTAACGCACGTGTGCGTCCCGAAATAGCGCACACCTCGAATGAATAAGTATCGGGTAAATAACGTTCTGTATCGGTAATATATCGAGTAATGGCAGTAAATCAGGTGTACATTAGGAAAGCTTCGAATTAATATTTTATCTCGAAATAATGCCCTGGGTATGTCCGAAATAACGCGCATGTAGTCAAATAGCGCCCAAATACCCATTATTTCGAGAATTTACGATATGTATATAAAAAATATTTTTGCTAATTTATTTATAAATGTGGCGGCTGAAGCTGAAATTGGGGGTCTCTATTTAAATATATAATACCTACTAAAATTCACTTGTACTCTTTCATTAATAAAACTATCTCTAAACCCTAACCTAACTCTAAAAAAAAAGGGTTCCAAAAATTTTTAAAATTTAATTATTAAAATATTTCAAAATCCCAACTTCAACCGATCTCAGCTTCAGCTGCCACAATAATTTTTTTAATTGTATAGCCAAATAAGACCACACAAATTTAATTTCTTGATTTTCATAACATGAAATTTTAAACAGACCCGGCCAGTCGGTTGGCTTTTTTTTAAAAAAATTTCATTTATAAAAATTTTATAAAAATTTTACAAATTTTTTTTTAAAACCCATCCGGTTACAAAATTTTTTTACAAGTTTTCGAATTTTGACTTTATCAGGTTACGAAATCAATTAATTAATTTGCATGGCCCGCTTGACTATTTTATTTATTTGTGAGAGTAACACAGACTAAAAAAGAAAATTAAATTTTGTAAATAAACTAAATATAAGTTTAGGGATAAGACATTAACATTAAAGGTTATAACAATAGATTGTTACTTGTCTTATTAAAATTTTGTTTCCAAAATTTTAAATTTTTTTTTTAAAAAATGTAAAGCCTGGCCTCTATTCTTTTATTATTTATTATATATAATGTTATATTAATAATTAGATATATACAATGTTTTGTAAAAACTAGAGACTAAAGTTAATTTACTTTTAATCTAGACTTTGCCAAGAAGGTTTAGAGCCTTTTAGTCTATGTGGGCAATGTTAGTAGTCAGTGTATTGTAATAGATGAAGTTTGAAAGCTATTTGTTATATTTATATTATGTAAGCTGCATGGTTACTTCTGTTTGTTTTTGATTAGATTATATGCATGGTTGTAATAGTTTTGTTTGTATTTGCTAGTTAGACTATGTTAATGTGCAGAGTTTTCAAATCTGTTCATATATGTTTTTGCAAAGTTTATAATAAAATAGACCTTATGTTAGATTGTCAGAATAGGAGTTATTGTTTTTAATATAATGTTTATAAAAAAAGAGCATGTTAAGAACAGTTAATC